AGGGGCAGAGGGTGGGGCGGGAACGGGGTGGAGGGGAGCTATGGGGGGAAAGAAAGAGGAACAAATGTAATAATCTGAACAATAAAGATTTAATAAAATAAAAAAAATAAAAAAAATGATGAGAGAGAATCATTGATTGGTTGCCTCCTGCACGCCCCCTACTGGGGATTGAGCCCACAACCCAGGCATGTGCCCTAGACTGGAATTGAACCTGGGACCCTTCAGTCCGCAGGCTGATGCTCTATCCACTGAGCCAAACCAGCTAGGGCTAGCATGGGACATTTCTTACTGTAGCCTAGGCTTTCTAAAGCTGAGGAACAACATAGATGGCTCCCCGTTTCCAAAACAGGACCCATAGCTCTTTCCTGTAGTCAGTCTACTGCCCAAAGGCACTGATTCATTTGCACAAAACAGACTTGAATGCTCTCACTATGCCAGGAACTATGCCTGGTTACAGAATAACTTTTCAAATTCTAGCGGAGGGTAGAAACCACAAAGAAATTGGACAACTGAAGTACAGTATATGCTGTAAAGGAAATGACTAGGGAGATGTAACAGAGTAACCAGAAGGCCCCTCTGAAATATTTGGGATGAGACCTGAAGGTGGCAAGGAACCCAGCAAGAAAGAACCTAAGGAGAGAGCACTGTGCCCATTCATGTCGCTGACGTTACCACTCCTGATGCACTTCCCTCTGCTTGCTCTGTTCGCTCTCGACATTTCTCTTGTTTTCTCTGCTATTTTCCCCCTTCCATGTGAAAAGGCTCGTGTTTTTTTTTCTAGAAATGGGAAGTAGAGCATTTCTGGTTATATTTGGTATAATCTTGAAGTCTTTTTAGTTTTATTTAATGTTTTTATTGATCTCAGAGAGGAAGGGAGAGGGATAGAAACATCAATGGTGAGAATCATTAATTGGCTGCCTCTTGCACACTCCCTATTGGGGATTGATTGAGCCTGCAACCTGGGCATGTGACCTGACAGGAACTGAACCATGACCTCCTGGTTCATAGGTGGACACTATCCATTGTACCACACTGGCCAGGCTCTTGAAGTCTTTTTAGATGTATGATTTTATTCTTTGCCAATAGACAAGGTATAATAATATCACTTTTGGTGAGCTCATTTCTCATTTAGTTTCACACACTTAGTAAAATAAGTCTTTTCAGCTGTTCAAAAGAAATGAACATATCTAGTTCACAGCAGTTCAGATGAAATTTAGTCACTGCTGAGGTACTTGGTTCTTAGCTTGGAGCAATATTACCTACTTTCCTTTTTTAAGATCTAATTCTTTTCTCATCGTTTTTTTGAAAAAATGTTCGGAATAGAGAGACTAAATAGCAAATGACAAATACACACAATACTGCATTTTTTAAAAAAAATCCTTAATAGTCATTGCTTCACAAGATAAAACTATAAGTTTATAATTTTTTCTCATAAACCTGAAATAAGAAACAGTTCAAAATTCCAAAATAGTTCTTTATTAATAAAGCATTTTATAAATACACATTTTAAATTTACGTTAGGTAAAATACATCCAAAGTTAAATGTCACTTCTCAGATTATTGTACCGAAGTCATATATACAATTCTTTTGTTTTCTAGTAATTTTATACCAGTGATTTGAAACATCCTTAAGATTTAATAATATATTGTAATAATTTCATTTTTCACTTTTTAGAGCTTGATAGAAGACAATCAATATCCTGAATAATTTCAGAGGTTCTTTTCAATGCCACTGATACTCTCTTTTCATTAACTTCTTCTAGCAAGCTTTCTGAATAGTTTGGTTTACAATCAAAAGATTGTTCATTTTTCTTGTTAGAAATCTGGTTTAGGACACCACTATTCTCCAGTAACACTAAGTTGCTTAGTCAAGGAGTTTTTGCCCACATTTTTCATTATACAAGTGTTTTTGATTTCAGAAAGCCTGACTTCATATTAACATAGGATTTCTCCATTTTGGGAAAGATCTTTTGGATTCATAATAGAGCTGGTACTTCAGAACTTATTAAGTCTGTTCCTCACAGATGAAGTAACCAGAGTAAAGGGGGAAGAAGAGTATGTAGGTGTGTGTTTGGATGGAGGTTTGGTGAAAGGGAGGAAATAAAAATCCCAGTAAAACTTTAAGCCGGATTTACCAAGAAAAAAAGAGAAGTCTAATAAATAAAATTACAAATGAAAGAGGAAATAACAACTGATACAACACAATACAAAGGATCGTAAGAGACTACTATAATTATATACCAATATATTGGACAATCTAGAAGAAATGGATAAATTCCAAAAACATACAATCTACCAAGACTGAATCAAACAAAGCCTGAACAGATGGAATACTAGTAAGAAGGAGATTGAGTCAGGAATCAAAACCTCCCAACAAACAAGAGCCCTGGATCAGATAGTTTTAATGGTGAATTATACCAAATATTTAAGGAAGAATTAATACCAATCCTTCTCAAACTCTTTCAAAAAATACAAGGAGGGAACACTTTCAAAGTATAAGGCCAGCATCACCCTGACAACCATAACCAGACAAGGATACTACAAGAAAACAAAAATACATGTCAATATCACCAATGAACATGCAAAAATACTCAGTGTCATGTACCTTCTACAGACAAGCTACTTCTCAAATGTCTTAAATATTCACTGAAGCTCCACAATACAGGTGTGGATTAATATAATCTATAGGGTCATGAATTAAACCTAGAATGGAAAGGAAGTAATTATGTAGGACAATACATTATGTTTAAAGGATACAGTTAAACTTCTGTATCTTTTCAAGTTCAGAAGCCACACACCTGTGGGGAAAAGAAAAGTAAGTTCATGCTAGTTATCTGATTCTTTTTTATACACAATATTTCAAATAAGCATACTTGACTGTTTTCACAAAGGTTAGAATTTTAAACAAAAAAACCTAATAAATTAGATATTTAATTACAGAAAAGTTATTTTTAATCATAAGCTATCAAAAACATAGAGTTAAATATATTTAACTAAGAAAAGATTTTCTTGGGGAAAAAAGTCTTAGAGTTAACAATTTGACTTTTTCCCCCCCAATTTTATTTATTTTTTAATCAAAAGGGGAAATGTTTTATTCCCCCTTTCTCCCCTACCATTTGACAATTTAATTTTGAGTATTAGTTGGCTCTTCTACACAGATTAAACTTAAAAGAAATACACATACCAATTTTCTTCAAGAACAGAACGAGTGGGCATCTCTCTCTGACTAGTCTGCGTCAGTCTTCTGCACCAGGATATTACTGTTGACACATATCTAGATTAAATACATTAAAAGGAATATTTAAAAAATGAACTTGTATTCTATTTATAAAAATTTCAAAAATGACTGAAAAATCAAGACAATTTGGGAAAAAGGGTAAAGAGAATATATTTTTTTTTTGTAAGGCATTTACTGGGAAATTCTCTGAATCTTCTTTCTTATTCATTTAAGAGTCAGAACAAAGTTCAAATTCAAATGTCTGAATTCTCCTTTTAGTTTTTCAAAGAAAAATGAATTTCATTAAATTTTATCATGTGAATGTGTTTACATATAAGACTAAGTGAGCATCGGCTTTTTAAAACTTAAACTAGAAAACACCCATTAATGTATAAACACACACACACACACACACACACACACACACAAACCTATATGTATAATTACATATTAACTCACCAAATATGCAAAACAAGTATCAAGTTTAATAAAATGATTATTCTGAAGTGACTGGCTAAAACAAGTAGCAATGTTTGCTAAATACACTCTGTCTTTTTGAGGCAAATTATTCAAACCAGCAATGAGTGTTGGAGCATTTAGAATAAAATGCAATAAAGCAACAGAAAAATAAATTTGAGGTAAAACAAAGCAATTCTTTTGTGAACATTCTCAAAGTAAAATCACTAAAATGTTAAAAACATCACAAATACACCGATTATAACAAAATGTATTACACAAAACAAAAGAAAGCACAGTCATGAAAAGCTGATTTCAAGAATCTCCATTTTAAGAATAATCATTAGTTTATTTTTTCTATTTTATAGAAATATACAGAAGTGTAGTTATTTGTGGTTGCCAATCTTACTTCAAATTGGTTAGGGCAGCCGTGGGCAAACTACGGCCCGTTTGAAATGAATAAAACTAAAAAAAAAAAAAAAAGACCGTACCCTTTTATGTAATGATGTTTCCTTTGAATTTATATTAGTTCACACAAACACTCCATCCATGCTTTTGTTCCGGCCCTCCAGTCCAGTTTAAGAACCCATTGTGGCCCTCAAGACAAAAAGTTTGCCCACCCCTGGGTTAGGGGATTAATTGGTTAACACATCTTACAATAACTTCTCCAGCAAGCCAGTTAGATCTAACATACTCATTTTGGTGAAAAATAACTTTAATACAAATGGAAATGATTAAAGCTGACTTCATCTTTTTTGTTATTCTACATGCCAATATAACAGTAAACTCTGAAACCTGTTGAAATGACTTCATTCACATCCACATGTAAAAACTAAAACAAAATATGCAGATACTGTTTATGTTTCTGCTCTGTCAATTAAAAGTTTTTTATTAAAATGAAAATAATTTTTAAATTGCTTTTCAGTACCTTTCATATGGTCCGGGGTGTTCAATCTGAATTAACTGATCGTGTCCATCAGGAAAAGTTAACTTACACCAACCTAAGTTGAGACCTTGATTTATCTTAAGAAACATGGAGGAAAGTTAAGTTTTATCATTCTAAAAATAAAAAAACAACAACACAAAACCACCCCCAAAACCAAAACAAAACCCTCTTCTAACTTAACAATTTAAAAAATATTAGTCCCTCTCTCTGTAGTGAGTTACTTAATAAAAATAAATATTTGCCATACCTATTTCACTTTTTCTAGGAAATCTAATGAGATCAATAAGCCTCTTGAAAGATATCATACTTCAAAAAACAAATTGACCTGGCTGGATGGCTCACCAGGTTGACCGTCATCCTTGCCCCAAAGGGCTCTCGATTTGATTCCCAGTCAGGACACATATAAAAGGCAACATATAAATTTATAACCAAATTAGTATAGATACATAGATTGATGTCTCTTTCTCTCTCTCTTTTTTTAGGTGAGGATTAAAAAAAAGAAATTGAGATAGAACCACAATAAAAAAAGTGCCACAGTACTTCCATAGATAAAACAAAAAACAATACAAAATAGATTTTAGCCTGAAGTATACTCACCTGTCTTTTTTCATTAAAAGAGCCAAAATTCCAATTTAGGGTTAGAGTAACACCATCTATAAAGATGACATGTACTTTATCATCAGAATAAGCAAGAAATTTTCCCACACTGGGTATGAACGATTCTCTCACAAGCAAAGGCAGCATATTCTCTTTTATCCCAGGTACCTAAAACCAAGTAAGTAAAAATAGCAGGAAGTAGAGTTATCCATTCGTAAGATTTAAATGATTAATGAACTCTGAGGAAACTTTCAGATTCCTATGCAGAAGTCGAATATTGTACAATCCTTATGTATGCTTAACTTTTCCACAAGTGGATGCCCAAAACAGTCGATTACAAGCAGATTAAACCCCCATTTGCTCTGAACTTTACAAAGAACACAGACAAGACTTAGGAACTATAGCAACATATAAATTTATAACCAAATTAGTATAGATACAGAAAAATCAAAGTCTGAGAATAACTTCCTCCAAGTCAGCATTAAAGAATGTACTTTTACAGTATGGAAAGAGAGTAGAAGACTGCAGTGTTTACAATAACTATGTTTTTTTATATAAATTCAACTAATTCCTATGGCCTTCCCATTCCATTTAAACGAAGTAGCCCTGACCGGTTTGGCTCAGTGGATAGAGGGTTGGCCTGCAGACTGAAGGGTCCCAGGTTCGATTTCGGTCAAGGGCCTGTACCTTGGTTGCGGGCACATCCCTAGTGGAGGGTGTGCAGGAGGCAGCTGATCGATGTTTCTCTCTCATCGATGTTTCTAATTCTCTATCCCTCTCCCTTCCTCTCTGTAAAAAGATCAATAAAATATATTTTTTAAAAAAGAAGCTAAATCAAACTATATACAATAAAATATAAATAAAAGCCTCATTTTGCAGCATTTATCTATTAAGTGGATATTTTTCTGAATAAATCAATGTTACAGCCGAAACCGGTTTGGCTTAATGGATAGAGCGTCGGCCTGTGGATTGAAAGGTCCCAGGTTCGATTCCGGTCAAGGGCATGTACCTGGGTTGCGGGCACATCCCCAGTAGGGGATGTGCAGGAGGCAGCTGATCAATGTTTCTCTCTCATCGATGTTTCTAACTCTCTATCCCTCTCCCTTCCTCTCTGTAAAAAATCAATAAAATATATATATAAAAAAAATTGTTACAAAGAATTTCTTACATGACTTAGATGGAAGTAATTCAAATTTAGGAATATAGACAAAATTATCTTGCTTTTGAAAGAATTTTAAGATACCATTTTCCAGCAGCATATACGGTAGTTATGGCTTAAAGAAAGCCTCGTCTTGGCACAGTGCTGAAGAATCCTGTGAACACGAAACACACAATGTAAACATTTGCAAATTATGATGGCATTTTCCAATTCGAGCAACAATTCTAACTGCTGTACGACATCTCAGCCAACAAGTTCATTTCCACTGAAATATGTCCAGACCTATTTCCTTCCAGAAAATAGTAAGCCCTTACAAGAGTACTACTACTGTTTCCCTTTGGCTAATCTTACCCACTTAAGTTTATTTCTCTAATTTGTGGCAATGAAATGACTCCAAATAGAATTTGCAGGTGCTCCTTTTTATGAGGTGATGGATTCACAGTGCCTGAAAGGGTTAGCACAGTCTAAGCAGTGGGCTGTAAATAAACTGTCCTAGAAATCATATTACTGATCTGCTCCTTCAAATCCACTTTGGAACTGGCTTAGACACAGTTTATACAAATAAATCATTGACTCCAACAATTCACTTTCATTCTTCTGAGTGCTACAGATTAATTAGCTAGGAGAATTAAAAAACATATGAACCAAAGAACCAAACAACACTTCTCTTCTGTATACATTCAGAAACCTTTATGACTGTGAAGATAATAAAGAAGTATGAAAATTTTAAATGTATCATCAAATCCTCAACTTGACTCCGGGGAGCAATAATGATGCGAAATTTACCCAGAGAAGTCACCTATTTCCAGCACTGGCTTGCCACATAGAAATGTTTCTCCATATTTCATTTTACGTTTCAAAGATGGAAGTATTCTTTTAATTACAAAGTCTTAATCTTATCCTAACCATCAGAAAAGGTATCAAGGTTCTCAGACATAACACTTGATTCAGTTGAATGTGAAGTACTTACCTGGTGGCCTGTTTAATTAGAGAACACACAGAGAACAGACTTCCTGGTCTCTCTGGAGGAAGATTATTTACTGAATACATTTTCTCTTCCCTCTGAAAATTAGTTTAAAGTGAAAAATCTCATTAATAATAAACATTGGCCATTATTACTCAGCTATTTTGATTTACATATTTACACAGCGACAAAGGAAGCAGTTATTTTAACTTAAAGGCCGTAATCGGTATAATCTAAAGGTATTTCATGATGCTTTTCCATTTTCCCATTTTTTCTCTCTATTCAAGTTACATTCTCACAGCCTATAACTCACTGTCCAATTTAAATCTTCGTATACTTGAACTAACATGGTTATAAGCTCAGCTGGTGTGGCTCAGTGCTTGCATGTCAACCTAGGAACCAGGAGATCACGGTTCAATTCCCAGTCAGGGCACATGCCCGGGTTGCAGGCTTAATCCCCAGTAGGGGGTCTGCGAGCAATGATTCTCTCTCATCACTGATGTTTCTATCTTTCCTTCTTCCTTCCTCTCTAAAAGCAATAAAAATATATTTTAAAAAATTAACATGGTTACAAATGAATTTTTCTACTTATTAGCAGGAAACATCACATAAGTTTTTCCCTTGAGACCAAAAAAACCCAAAACCTAAACATCAAAAAGTTATTTTACTTGAATGCATCTATCATTTTGTTGTATTTTACTAATGGAATAACTATTACTACAGTTTTATGGACGATAATAGTATTTATTGTCTTGGTTTTTTGAATTTTAAAAACTTATCCTTTCTGCATTTCCTCTTCACAGACTGCACAGATTCTTTAATGCCAGTGTTTCTAGGACTGTCTCCAGCCTTCTCCTCTGACTTCCTGATTTCTTCTTGGGTTATTTCCACAAGATTCAAAGCTCCTTCATAATAATTATAATAGCCACGGCTAATATTTATTGAATAGATCTGTGCTAGGTGCCTATTTTTAGATGAGGAAAATGAGGCTCAAGGGCTAAAAAGTAGCAGAGATCTGTTTTGAACCACAAGAGAGAACAGCCCATACTTTACCATCAGAATTTAGTGTAGAGCAGGTACTCAAAAGTAATTTTTATCCTTTTATCCTGGACGGTGTACTTGAATATCACAGACATCTCAATTTTAACAAGTCAGAAATGGAGTTATCTTCATTTCAAAATTTGCATTTTCTTCTCTACTTTGTATCTACCTCTGGTATGTCAATTATCACATGCTGTTCCTTCTACTCGGTTCCCTCCTCTATGAACTCCTTGTGTCTGACTAACTCCTACTTTCCCTTCAGTCTCAGGAAAGCCATGTGGAGGTCCCACAGACAGGGTGAAATCCCCTAGTTATGTCCATAAGCACAGTGCCCTCTCTCCTGTTTCTTGGTTTTCATTTAGTTTTTATTTCATGTCTGTCTTCCCTTCCAGAATAGAGATAGCTTCATGAAGGTAGGGATTGTATTTGTTTTGCTTACCTTGTTATCCCCAGCATTTATTAGTAGCGTGCTTAGCACATGGCGGGCGCTCAAAACATCATATTTTAATTATGTCTTTCACTACTGAACACTGAGTTCCCTAAGTGTTCTTCTCTTTCACCTATCCTACCTATTGCATCAGTTCTAAAATACTTACTTTTACAATTTAATCTCTCTGAAATTTGGAATCATCTTATAATTAAGAGTGTCTTATAATCACTACTAGAGGTCCGGTGCACGGACTCGTGCACTGGTGGTCCCTCAGCCTGACCTGCGGGGATCGGGCCAAAACTGGCTCTCTGACATCCCCCAAGGGACCGGATTACAAGAGGGCACAGGCCAGGCTGAGGGACCCCATCGTTGCACAGACCCATGCACCAGGTCTCTAGTCCTATCTAATAATAGACAAACATGGTAATTAACTGTAACTTCGCTATCCTTCCCATTGGCTAATCAGGGCAATATGCAAATTAATTGCCAACTAAGATGGCGGTTAACCGCCAACAAAGATGGTGGCTAATTTGCATACATAGGCGCAATGATAGGAGGCAAAAGGGGAAAGACGGAAGAATGGTGGCAGGCAAGAGCAGGGCTGCCTTTGCCCGCCCCCCAGCTGGTGATGGCCATCGGAAAGCCCAGCAGCAGGCCAGGCGACACCCCCTAGTC